ATACGTTTGATTTCCAAAGTGAGTCAATTACTAGAGAAAATAGCTCTATACGTTGGCTTCATTTGCTAGAAAAATAGTTTAGATGAGTTTGTAGTTGTTATAATCTTGTAACAATAGCTTATTAATTAATTTAATTCAACCATTTAATAATCTTTATCACTGAACGCTTGAAAAATAGATTTTTTAATCGTTTACGCACATTTGAAGAGTATTGTACGTGGCAACGGGTAGAAAAAATGAAAATACAAAATATGTGCCTACAAACGCTTAAAAGTGACACTTTTTAATGACTCTCATGATCAATTTCCCAGATATGTGTTTAAACTCTTGAAACATAAACTTTTTGAACTTTAACATGCGTTTTTTTTTTAGAATTCTTCTCTGGATTAGTATACGTACGAACTCTTCTGATTCTAGTAAACTAAATCCATAGATACAATGATTTCTTCTAGCAATTTACACAGTATAGCAAACCAATGTGTTGAGCATCTTGAACAAAAACAAAATCGTAAAAAGTGCACATGTTTACGCGTTAAACATTTCAAATGAATATGAGCCAAGAGTATAGACATTGTATTGAAGCAAGAAAAAGAATTGATAAAAATAAATTTAAGAATAAAGAAAAACAAGATGCTGTACTTTATAGAGTGATGTGGATTTTGTATGAAAATAATGTTTTTCCAAACACTTTTCTGTGTCGAAGTTGCTTTCTGCATTCCATCTTCAAATATCAATCAGTCTTAGTGTATAAATACGTCCCAAAAAAAAAATTTCGCGTTAAACATTGTTAGTAAAATCAAATTTTCTCTCGGACAAAGAAAGATTCTTGCTTGATTTTGTTGTCTAGATATTACTCTACTATGTGATTTAAAAAAAAAAACACATGAATTTTTTGTGGCAAACAATTCAGTTTTAACTGAGTTATAGTTTTTTTTTTCAGAAGTGAATGACCACTTTTAGAGCAGTAAAATGGAAAAAAAAGACTATCAAAATTGATTGAGTAAAACTCAACTTATAGACATTTTTCTGTTTAGAACATAACGACATAATACATGAACTCTTCATTCGTATAGAGTCGTTCAAAAATTGAATGCTTAAAAATGTGCGTTTTCATGATTTTATTTTCGTTGTTTGTCTGAATATGTAGAGAAATAAAACTATTATTTAATAACATTTCAAAAATTCATTTTTCTTAGATGAACGTCTTTGTTTTCGTATCATTGAATAATTATCAATTAACAATTTAATCAAATAAGAAAAATGTTATATATAAAAATAATTGAATTTTATTATAAATAGAAATATTTTATTCAAAAGCATTCATTTGAAATTCATGCTAGTCAAAAATTTACTAACGAGGGAACGTTCCCAAGTGATTAAAAGCTTTTGAGCTCATATGTTACCCATTAGGTAGAGGATCACTAGATTAGAGAAACCTCCAAAGGATTCGTGTCCATATTGAGATTTGACAGAGATATCGAATTTTTAGTGGATTTTTCCTGCTGGACCCTAGTTCTACAGCAAAATCATATTTTCGAATTTTGACCTGAAACTTTGCCCAAATGAAGGCCTCGATCAGAGTAGCTTGTATAAAAAATTTCAGAATTTTTGGACATTGCATCTCCAAGGTATCAATCTTTCAAAGTATCCATGTTATATATAGAAAAGTGTCTATTTTCAAAAATTGATACCTTGGAAATGCAATGTCCAAAAATTCTGAAATTTTCTATATAAGTTACTCTAATCAAAGCCTTCATTTGGGCAAAATTTCAGATCGAAATTCGAACATATGATTTTGCTGTAGAACTAGGATCCAGCAGGAAAAATCCACTAAAAATTCGATATCTCTGTCAAATCTCAATATGGGCACGAATCCTTTAGAGGTTTCTCTAATCTAGTGGTTCCCTACCTAATGGGCAACATATGAGCTCAAAAGCTTTTAATCACTTGGGAACGTTCCCTCTTAAGAAAATCAAAGTGATCAAGTAAATGATGAACTTCTATTTTCTTGTTTAATTCTTTTCTATATGTTTTATATAAATTATGAATTATCATCAATATATTTTAATAACTATTTTTTTTCAATTACGTATGTGTGTTACTTCTCTCTCTTCATTCACATTCACTCCCACACACATTAAACATCCTATGAAACAAGTAAACAATCGAATATAATCAATCATTTAGCTAAGAAATTTATTGATGCTTATCAAATTAAAGACTTTAGAAAACTCAAAACAAGGATTTCTATCAAGTGAGACACTACAGAAATAAGAAAAGTTCATTGATTAGCCATCAAATGCGATTTTACTTGTTGAGATTGATTTTAATGCCGAAAAGCATGATAGCCCGTTCCACCATCGATATGTCCGTTTCTATTTATAGTAGAGTTTGTTGCTTGTTCGATATGACCAATAAGATCTATCAATCGTACATAAAAAAAAAATAAACAGTAAGTGACTTGACAACAAGTCATTGACAAAAGTAAATGATCTTAGAATTCATTCGAAATTCTAGGTTTTCTAATTGACAATTTATAGGTATGAATAAGGTCTTATTTGTGATGCAATTTGATCTGATTGAAATTTTCATAATATTCATAAAAAAAATTATATATTTTGACATCTCTTATCATCAGTAGTTCACATTCAAAGAGAATGACTTGTCTTCATCGGTTGAAGCTTGATATCCTCCAATAATTTGTTCATGATTTAAATCCAAATGGGCTTGCTTGTTGGATTTGAGATGTAAGTCCGGGTGCTTCAATTTATCCATCTCCGTTGAAGTTTTAGCTTATTTTTTTACTTCAAATTTTCTATTGATATAATCTACATACAATGAGATGAAGAAAAAAGAAAAATTTCTAGTAATCGATGCAAAACTGACTCATATTGTTTACGTAGTCTTTGCAATAAATAAGTATCAATCACCTACCTGTACACCCCCTAACGGTGATTTCAATGACAATCTGGATTTTTCTTCTTCGCGTCTACTTTAATAAATCAAGATAAAAATAAACACATAGAAATCTGTCACAAAGGCTTTTGCATTCATTTATCTTTTTTTGTCCGCACATCATTCATGCATATATTCATATTATGAAAGTGAATCATGATTAGATATCTATTCAATCGAATCTAATTATTGTACAGAAGTCGTCACATTGATTTATTTTCAAAAACGTTTTATTCTGATTTCTTCAGTAAAGATGAAAGATATTGATTCACGATTTGATATTAGAAAAGAAAATGAGAAAAATATTCTGCTCAATAATTGGAACTAAAATTCTCGAACAAATAGCCATCAATGATATTCATTGTTACGGTATAATGAGAAAAATAATATGTATTGATCAATTCATTATTCTAACTGTGTAAATCTTCTTCACAATCGAGATCAAATTCGACTTTGCTAGATTTTCTTTATTAAAATTTATTCAGTATTCAAAAAGATTTTTGTTATAGTTTTAGAGAAAAAACAAAAGGAAAAATGTTAAATTTTATTGTCAACTTTAAATATTGAAGTTTAGTCAATTTTAAATCATATGTCATTTGTCATAATCACATATTAAAAGACTTTTAACAAGCAACAATCAGTTCAACACCATAATGATCAGAAAGACTTGTTATAATCGTTTCATTTCGAGCACTAATTGTTACTCGATCATCAAATATACGTCGTGTAAATAAATCACAAGAATGAAACATATTTCCATGTGTAAAAATATGATCATATATATAATTAACAGGAAAATGAACAACAAGATTATCTGTACATCGTGTACAAAGACGATGCATTTCTGTATAATCATCATACCATCTTCTTGATCCATCAGTATCAATTAATTGATGTATATAATTCCAACTATCAGCTTGTAATGCTAATACATTATGTTCAACATTAGCAATACCCATATTGAAATCACCTGCCATAATAGCATTTTTATATTTTCGTCTATTATTACGGAATAAATTCCAAACAATAGATTCAAGTTCTATAGTTTGTCCTTTATTTTCTTCATTCCAACTACCATATTTATTATTAAAAAATGTTCCTTTAGGTGCATGAGGAAAAGGTGTTTCAACTGTAGCCACATGTGTATTGGAAATAATTAATTGTTTGTTTTCTACACTAACAATAATATAACCACGAGGAAAAAGATAATATTCTGAAAAAAGATTAGCCGCTAGTTTTTTTAATGGATATCCTCTTTTTGCTAATATCATCAAACCAATTGTATGATCCCATGGTTCTTCAGTTGAAATATGAATAATACCTGATGAAGTATTATTCAATTTAGGTAAAATAATTGCACCACAATAATTGAGAGCTGATGGATCTTGACGACTAATAAATCTTTCAAAAATACATGCCCAACATTTTGAATTTGTATAAAGGGCTAGAAAGTTTATTGGACATTTAATCATGGCACATATAAGTAGTTCTATATCACGACTTGCAGAACAATATGTAGCAAGACAAAGTTGTGCACTTGTTATATTCGAAGGTATACAAGCAGGATTGTATGTTTGTGTTGGTAATCGTTTACTACTAATATAATTACGCATACGATCATCTACAATTTCATAATAAGGATAAACATGTTTGAGTGATTGATAAATTTGACGTAAAATCAATGGTCCACCCCATGCTTCTTGTAAACAAACAATATCAGCATTTTTCTTACGAATAGCATTGATAATTGATGATGTTCTTTCAGTTGCTAGTTGTTCTTCTAAACCAATATTCCATGTTGCTAATGTTATTACATCTGAATGATGTTTTGCATAAATAATTACTGATATCAATGAAAAAATATAGATAAACATTGAAGAATGCATTGTTATTTTGTTTTCAATTAATATAGTTATTAATCACTACGAAACAATTTTGAATGAATCCAATTGAAAATAAAGTCGTTTTTGTTTTTTTTTTCTCTAAAATAAAATAGTTCTCGTTGTACATTACTTGAAAGAAAGTTAAAAGTATATGAAAAACAAAGTCTATCACAATGTTTCTTTAGTGGTATATCTGTTTCTATTGCAAGCAACTCATAGATTACTCTTGAACTTATCAGAAGAAAAAAAATTATTTCTACTCTAATACTCAAACAATACAATGCGCCCTCTTTAAATATCAAGCTCGATTTCAATTGACAAGCAGAATATTCTCATTCAGAGAAAGCTCTTTAAAAAACGTGTTAAAACATGATTTTTACACATGTTTTTTTGTTTGAAGCGCTATTATTATGTTCAACAATTATTGATTATTAGTGGCTTTTGTTAAGCGATTCAAAGTGTTTAAGAGAATCCGTTTCTTAAGATTAGTTTAAATGTAGAATGTGTAGCTAATGTATTTGAAAGTCGAGTTTTCTTGAAAACTGTTTAAGTTCTTGGTTTTTACATATAGCATTAATAGGTGACAAAAGTTGTAGAAAATTATATAACTAAAAATTAATAAAAAAAAAAACTATAATATTGTATAGATATTAGTATTGAATATAGTTAAAAGGAAAAAACAAGCTTGACAATAATACAACGAACAACTACTTATACTTCTGACGCATTTCGTAAACAAAAAAACTTGTTTTGAGTAAACAGAAGTGATTGAAGCGTAACTATCGGTATGTTTTTTCTATTAGATCGTTTTTGTTTTAATCGAAAAATGAATCCGCATAGTCCGCATTAAATGATATTCTAGATCAATCACATGCATAGTAGCTTTGTTTTTCATATGTCAAGGACGACTCATGCAGTATATTCAAAATAACATTTTTCATTCAAGCAAGCGAAGAAAAACATAAATTCATTATGAAGAGATTAAAATATAAAATGACGTTTTTGTAAATGCTTTTTTTGTCTCACTTCTGTTGAGAATATGTTTTAAGTTTTCATGAGTCTTGATCTCTTCAAACACTTTGGTTCTGAATAGTTTTAATTATTATCGCATGCTCATCTAGCGTTAATATTTCTAATTCACAAAAAAAGGGATTAAAATGATTCAATCGTTTATAAACATTTTGAAATTAACTTTTTATTTTTCTTCTTAGTTCTTATCAGTTTTATATTTTTATCTGTGTATTATTTCAGTTAACTGTCTCAATTGTTTCCGCAATTTACTTAATCAAATATATGTTCGTTACATGGTAGTATCATTTTTCTCTTTAATTCATATCTGTCATGGATTCTTGCTTCGTACTGTTTTCATTTTTTTTTCAATACGTAATTTGACACTCTTTTAAAGGAGTTATTCTATTTTACCTTCGTATAGTCTTATTAAGAACTGATATAATTGAAAGATCGATATTGTCATGCAAACAACTGAATTTAAGTCAGACTTTATTTTTTTACCCCTTTATTGAAACTCCTGAGTCTAATTTGGTAACCTAATTATATTTAAAGTGATCAATCATCATCATTAATCTCACTTTTATGTATTGTATATTTTCATTATCTAGAGTCGTATCGAAAAGCATTAGTTAGAGGTTATTAATAAGCTCTAATTATATATATGTTATAGTATAAAGTTCGAATCCATTTCAATATCTAAAGTCGAACAAATTACATGATTTTCATATGATTTATTTTGTATTTTGTCAGAAAATATGATGCACTTTGAAAAATATTGAAAGAAAACTTTTATATGCTATTATTTTATTGAAAATTAATTCATTAATCATGAAAACTACTACTTTAGATGAGAGAGTTGTATCAAAATAGAACATGTAGAAAATATGAAATGAAATAGATTCAAAATTGAAAAGAAAACTGATATTTATTGTTTTTACATTTATTCAAAACCAAGTATATTTTAATTTTCGAAAAATTTTACTTGTAAGCTCTAACAGCAATTTGATCGAAACAATATAAATTGATATAGATACTGATGTTCTCCTCTAATCATGTATTACCTAAAAGAAAATTTGACATGTTTAAATAACTGATATTTTCTTGGAAAAAAAAACAAAGAACAGACTATTAAAAAAAAAAAGTTCATGAAAATATTTCTCATAAAATTAATTAATTTGTACTAAAATATAAGAAATAAACTCAATGAAAAGTATATAGTTCGATAGAGAAATTTTCATTCATTTCACAACTTTTGACCATATGTGAATAGAAAAATTTGAGTACTATCTTACTTACTAGACAATATCAAATGTTGTCTATGTTTCACTGTACATACGTTCAAAATTTATCCAATGTTTGAAAAAGATGTAAAATAAAATACATGAAAAGTATTTCGTTCGATGAGGTAATTAATACTTTATTCGACTATATCCAAATAAAAACTCCAAGGTTTCGTATAAATACAGTAATCTAAATAAAACTATAAAAAGTAACATCATCAAACTGTATGTATGTAATGAATAATATCTATCTTATTATCCAAAATTTATGAAAACTCAATTATTATTATTATTTAGACAATACGTTTGATTTCCAAAGTGAGTCAATTACTAGAGAAAATAGCTCTATACGTTGGCTTCATTTGCTAGAAAAATAGTTTAGATGAGTTTGTAGTTGTTATAATCTTGTAACAATAGCTTATTAATTAATTTAATTCAACCATTTAATAATCTTTATCACTGAACGCTTGAAAAATAGATTTTTTAATCGTTTACGCACATTTGAAGAGTATTGTACGTGGCAACGGGTAGAAAAAATGAAAATACAAAATATGTGCCTACAAACGCTTAAAAGTGACACTTTTTAATGACTCTCATGATCAATTTCCCAGATATGTGTTTAAACTCTTGAAACATAAACTTTTTGAACTTTAACATGCGTTTTTTTTTTAGAATTCTTCTCTGGATTAGTATACGTACGAACTCTTCTGATTCTAGTAAACTAAATCCATAGATACAATGATTTCTTCTAGCAATTTACACAGTATAGCAAACCAATGTGTTGAGCATCTTGAACAAAAACAAAATCGTAAAAAGTGCACATGTTTACGCGTTAAACATTTCAAATGAATATGAGCCAAGAGTATAGACATTGTATTGAAGCAAGAAAAAGAATTGATAAAAATAAATTTAAGAATAAAGAAAAACAAGATGCTGTACTTTATAGAGTGATGTGGATTTTGTATGAAAATAATGTTTTTCCAAACACTTTTCTGTGTCGAAGTTGCTTTCTGCATTCCATCTTCAAATATCAATCAGTCTTAGTGTATAAATACGTCCCAAAAAAAAAATTTCGCGTTAAACATTGTTAGTAAAATCAAATTTTCTCTCGGACAAAGAAAGATTCTTGCTTGATTTTGTTGTCTAGATATTACTCTACTATGTGATTTAAAAAAAAAAACACATGAATTTTTTGTGGCAAACAATTCAGTTTTAACTGAGTTATAGTTTTTTTTTTCAGAAGTGAATGACCACTTTTAGAGCAGTAAAATGGAAAAAAAAGACTATCAAAATTGATTGAGTAAAACTCAACTTATAGACATTTTTCTGTTTAGAACATAACGACATAATACATGAACTCTTCATTCGTATAGAGTCGTTCAAAAATTGAATGCTTAAAAATGTGCGTTTTCATGATTTTATTTTCGTTGTTTGTCTGAATATGTAGAGAAATAAAACTATTATTTAATAACATTTCAAAAATTCATTTTTCTTAGATGAACGTCTTTGTTTTCGTATCATTGAATAATTATCAATTAACAATTTAATCAAATAAGAAAAATGTTATATATAAAAATAATTGAATTTTATTATAAATAGAAATATTTTATTCAAAAGCATTCATTTGAAATTCATGCTAGTCAAAAATTTACTAACGAGGGAACGTTCCCAAGTGATTAAAAGCTTTTGAGCTCATATGTTACCCATTAGGTAGAGGATCACTAGATTAGAGAAACCTCCAAAGGATTCGTGTCCATATTGAGATTTGACAGAGATATCGAATTTTTAGTGGATTTTTCCTGCTGGACCCTAGTTCTACAGCAAAATCATATTTTCGAATTT